CCGGCCATTGGGGGAAATGAAGAAATGAACAGGAGAGGACAACGGACAATAATCCATAGGAACTCAGGCCTCCTCCGGCCTGACTGGTCTGCGAGTTTACGTTTGGTCCATCCTCATTAGCATTGGTTACAACACCCTCTCAACAGTTACTTACGGTCACCGGGAAAAGAGAGCTACCAGGGCTCCCGGGGGTGCTGCAGGTTGCTGCCTTACCTGTATTTACAGGCATTTTCAGATCACCCACAAACACCTGTTCTGCCAACTCTGGTTAAACTCTAGGTAAGGGCGTGCAGACACAGGTAAGAAGATAACTAAAACTTGAAGGCAGTTTATGGCAGATGCCAGACGAGAGGGCTAAGTGATGGGGTCTCAGGGGTTCAGCCGTGGGAGATCTCTGTGGGCAATGCAGTTCAGGGCAAGGATCCTAACACACAGGCTTCCAGACCCAGAGGGGAACCTGCACAGAAAGACACTTTAAAGGCGACAGATTTGGCTACAGATTAAAGCACGGGTGGAGGAAGATAATGGCAAAATGCCAGACGGAGGGCCAAGAGAGCTGTCTTCTCGTGGTGACAATGGGGTTGGAGGGTAAGAACCCATGGAAGGATGCCCAGAACTTGGTGGCTAATTAGATGTGGAGGTCAGGAGGGAAGGAGTTAGAGGCAACTCCAAGCATGGGAGACAGAACCATGCACTTCGAGGCCGGCATAGATGCTAGTTTTGAAGACAAAGCAAGGAGCTTGTGATGTGGCAAGTGGAGGTGAGAGGAGCTATTCCTGGAGGAACGTCTGTCAGGCTCTGGTGGTGGCTCCTGGCCACAGCTCAGAGCTGAGTGGTGCCTGGGGTGGGGGGTGGGGGTCATCCACATGTGGGTCACTGTAACTGAAAATCAAGTCAGTGTGCTCCCTGAGGGAGGAGGTTTGGAGAGAAGAGTGGCTCAGGAGAGTGTTTCAGGGCTATGCCTACAGCCAACTACAAAAGAAGAAGCATCAGTGAACAAAGGCGGAGAAGGTGCCTGAACAGCGTGAGGCAGAGAACCAGGATGGTGTCTTACTTACAAAGGTCAAGGGAAGAGAGAGTTCCTCCCACAATACATGTTGTGAATTGCTGTAATGAGGTCCAAGAGAAACAGGATAAAATATTTCATAACTTTCCAGTTACAGATAGAACATTTGCTTTATCTCCTCATTACTTTTCAAAATAAACTATTTTTTTAGAGCAATGTTAGGTTCATGGCAAAATTGAGCACAAAGCAGAGATTTCCCATGCACTCCCTCCTCCCCACAAGCACAGCCCCCCCTCCAGTAGCAATATCCCCCACCAGAGGCATATTTGTTATAACTGATGAAGCAACATTGACATACGATTATCACCCAAAGTTCATAGTTTCAATAGGATTCACTCTTGGTGTCATATATTGTATAGGTTTTAACAAATGTATAATGACATGTATTCACTGTTACAGAATCACACAGAATAATCATACTGCTCTAAAAATCCTCCGTGTCGCACCTATTCATTTTCTCCTTTGCCCCTTATCCTTAGCAACCACTGATTTTTTTTTTAACTGCCTCCATAAGTCCAAAGCTTTTCCAGAATGTCATATACTTGGAATCATTGAGTATGTAGCCTTTTCAGATTGGCTTTTTCACTTACTAATATGCATTGTGGTTTCTTCCATGTCTTTTTCATGGCTTGATGGCCCATTTCTTTTTAATGCTCAATAATATTCCATTGTCTTGATGTACCACAGTATATCCATTCACCTACTGAAAGACATCTTGGTTGCTTACAGGTTTTGGTAATTGTGAATAAAGCTGATATAAATGTGTGTGTATAAGTTTTATTTATTTGTTTTTATTGTGGCAAAATCCACATAACATAAAATTTACCATCTTTTTTTTCCAAGATTTTATTTATTTATTTGACAGAGACACAGGGAGAGAGGGAACACAAGCAGGGGGAGTGGGAGAGGGAGAAGCAGGCTTCCTGCTGAGCAGGGAGCCCGATGCGGGGCTCGATCCCAGGACCCTGGGATCATGACCTGAGCCGAAGGCAGACGCTTAACGACTGAGCCACCCAGTCGCCCCTAAAATTTACCATCTTAGCTATTTTTAAATGTATAGTTACGTGGTATTAAGTACATTCATATTATTGTGCAAATGTCCCCACCATCCATCTTTAAAACTATTTTCACCTTGCCAAGCTGAAACTCTACCCTTTAAATAGTAAATCCTGTTCCTTGTCCCCAAGACCCTGACACCAGTCTACTTTCTATGAGTTTGACTACACTAAAAACTTCTTATAAGCAGAATTGTACAGTACTTGCTTCTTTGTGTCTGGCATATTTTCCTTAGCATCATGTCCTTAAGGTCCATCCATGTTGTAGTAGATGTCAGAATTTCCTTTCTTTTTAAGGCTAAATAATATTCCATTGTATGCATGGACTACATTTTTAAAATTCAAGTATAAATGCCATATGGTGTTGTATTCATTTCAGGTGTACAATATAGTGATTCAACAGTTCTATATATACATTTCTCAGTGCTCATCAAGATAAGTGTACTCTTAATTCCCTTTACCTATTTCACCCATACTCCTCACCCCCCTACCCTCAGCAGCCACCATTTTGTTCTCTATATTTAAGTCTGTTTTTTTGGTTTGTCTTTTTTCTTTCTTTGTTTGCTTTGTTTCTTAAATTCCACATATGAGTGAAATCATGCGGTATTTTGTCTTTCTCTCACTTATTTCACTTAGCATTATACCCTCTAGGTCCATCCATATTGTTGTTGCAAATGGCAATATTTCACTCTTTTTTATGGCTGAGTAATATTCCATAGTATATATATATGTCACATCTTGGATATTCATCTATCAGTGGATACTTGGGTTGCTTCCATTTATTTACAATAGCCAAGATAAGGAAGCAACCCAAGTGCCCATTTGATAGACGGATGGATAAAGAAGGTAAGGTATATATACCACATTTTGTTAATCCACTCATCCACTAATAGACGCTTGGGTTGCTTCCATATTTTAGCTATTGTGAATAATGCTGCTATGAACCTGGGCACACATATATGTCTTCAAGACTGTACTTTTAATTTTGGGAGGCATATACCCAGAAGCGGAATTGTTGGATCAAATGGTGATTTTGTGTGCAGGTTTTTGTGTGGGTATGTTTTCAGTCATTTGAGTAAATACCAAGGACCGTGACTGCTCTATCAAATGGTTAGATTATGGTTTGTTTTATAGGAAACTGCCAAACTGCCTTCCAAAGTGGCATTTTGCATTCCTCTCAGCAATGAATGAGAGTTCCTGTTGCTCTACATCCTCACCAGCATTTGGGGTTGTCAGTGTTTTTGATTTTTGCTGTTCTAGTGTGATGGTATTTTATTGCTGTTTTAATTTGCAATTCCCTAATGGCATATGATACTGAGTGTCCTTTAATATGCTTATTTGCCGTATGTACATCTTTGGTGAGATGTCTGTTCAGATCTTTTGTCTATTTTTTAATTGGGTTGTTTATTTTCTCATTGAATTTTAAGAGTTTTTAAAAATATTTTGGGTAACAGTCTGTTATCAGATATATTTTTTACAAATATTTTCTCCTAGTCTGTAGCTAGTCTTCTTTACGTATTTTGGGATTTTCCAGTTATCTTCCTGTTTTTGATTTTTAGTTTAATTTTATTGTGGTCTGAGAGCAGACATTGTATGATTTCTATTTTTAAAATTTGTTAAAGTGTGTCTTATGGCTCAGAGTGTGGTCTGTCTTGGTGAATGTTCCGTGAGCTTGTTGTGTGAAGTAGTCTATAGATGTCAATTATATCCCATTGGTTGATGGTGTTGTTGAGTTCAACTATGTCCTTACTGATTTTCCGCCTCCTGGATCTGTGCATTTTTGAGAGAGAGGGTTTGAATTCTCCAACTGTGATTGTGGATTCATCTATTTCTCCTTGCAATTCTGTTTTTACCTCATGTAGTTTGACATTCTGTTGTTAGGAACATACACACTAAGGATTGTTAAATCTTCTTGGAGTGTTGACCCTTTCATCATTAAGTAATGTCCTTCTTTAATCCTGATCACTTTTCCTTGCTCTGAAGTCTGCTCTGTCTGAGATTAATATAGCTACTCCAGCTTTCTTTTGCTTAGTGTTAGCATGTTATGTTTTTCTCCATTATTCTATTTATATGTATTTTTATATTTAAAGTGAATTTCTTATAGACAACATACAGTTGGGTCTTATTTTTTGATCCACACTGACAATCTCTGTTTTGTTTGTTTGTTTGTTTATTTTAAAAGATTTTGTTCTGTGTATTTAGATCACCAATGTTTAAAGTGATTGCTAACATTGTTGGATTAATATCTACTGTATTTGTTACTGTTTTCTATTTATTGTCCTTGTCCTTTGTTCCTAATCTTGTTTTACACTCTTCATATGATTTTTGTGGTTTTAATTATTTTATGTGATTTCATATTCTCTTCATTCTTAGCACAGCAATTATACCTCTTCGTGTACTTTTATAGTGGCTTCTCTAGAGTTTGCAATATACATTTGCAGCTAATCTGAGTCCACTTTTAAATAATACTATACTGCTTCTGAGGTAGTGCAAGTACCGTACAATAAGAAAGTATTCCTAATTCTTCCCTCCAGTCCCATGTATCATTGCTGACAGTCATTTCACTTATATATGTTATAATCATCAAATATGTTGTGGCTATTATTATTTTGAACAAATGGTTATTTGTTAGATAAAGATAAAAAATAAAAGTTTTTACTTTCACTTACTTCTTCTCTAAAATCCTTCCTTTCTTTATGTAGATCTGAGTTTCTGACCTATATCATTTTCTTTCTCTCTGAAGAACTTCTTTGAATATCTCTTGTAAGGCAGGTCTACTGGTAACAAGTTCTCTCATTTTTTTGTTTGTCAATATTTTGTTTCTCCATCATTTTCTTCTCTCTTTTTTTTAAAAAAGATTTTATTTATTTATTTGACAGTGAGAGAGAGAGAGAGCACAAGTAGGGGGAGCAGGCAGAGGGAGAAACAGGCTCCCCACTGAACAAGAAGCCCAATGTGGGGCTGGATCCCAGGACCACAGGATCATGACCTGAGCTGAATGACTGAGCCACCCAGGCACCCCTCTACCAAAGGATAATTTCACAAGATATAGAATTTTAGGTTGGTGAGTTTTTTCCCTTTGAACACCTTTAAATATTTCACTCCCCTATTTTCTTTCTTACATGGTTTCTAGAAGAAATTAGATGTAATTCTAACCTTTGCTCCTCTATAAGTAAGCTGTTTTCTCTCTGGCTTTTTTTTTTTTTAAAGAATTTATTTATTTATTTGAGAGAGAGAGAATGAGAGACAGAGAGCATGAGAGGGAGGAGGGTCAGAGGGAGAAGCAGACTCCCCGCTGAGCAGGGAGCCCGATGCGGGACTCGATCCCGGGACTCCAGGATCATGACCTGAGCCGAAGGCAGTCGCTTAACCAACTGAGCCACCCAGGCGCCCCTCTCTCTGGCTTCTTTAAAGACATTTTCTTTATCTTTGATTTTTTGCAGTTTGAATATGATATGCTTAGGTGTCGTTCTGGGGCATTTATTCTACTTGGTGGTGTTCTCTGAGATTCCTGGATCTGTGGTTTGCTGTCTGACATTAGTTTGGAGAAATTTTCAACCATCATTGCTTCAAATATTCCTCCTGCTTCTTTCTTTCTCTCTTTTCCTTCTGGTATTCCCATTATACATATGTTACACCTTGTGTAGTTTTCCCACAGTCCTTGAATATCCTGTTCCTTTATTTTTACTCTTTTTTCTCTTTCTTGCTTTTCAGTTTTGGAGGTTTTCATTAACATACCTTCAGCCTCAGAGATTCATTCCTCAGCCATGTCCAGTCTACTAATGACCCCTTCATAGGCATTCTTCATTTCTCTTCCATTGTTTTTGATCTCTAGCATTTCTTCTTGATTCTTTCCTAGAATTTCCCTCTCTATGCTTACATTACCCATCTGTTCTTGCATGTTGTCTACCTTTCCCATTAGAGTTTTTAGCATATTAATCATAGTTGTTTTAAATTCCTGGTCTGATAATTCCAGTATTTCTGCCATATCTGAATCTGGTTCTGGTGCTTGCCCTCTCTCTTCAAACTGTTGCCTGCCTTTTATTATGCCCTGTAATTTTTTGGTTGAAAGCCAGGCATGATGTACTGGGTAAAAGGGAGTTCTGTAAATTGGCCTTTAGTATTGTGGTGGTGAGGTGTGGAGGAGGGGAAACATTCTATAGTCATATGATTGGATCTCAGTCTTTTAGTGAGACTGTGAACTTCAGAAGTGTTTTTCAGTACCTGATCCTTCACCCCCATCCCCACTCCATCTTCAATGGGACAGGATGGCTAGAGGGGGCTAGAGTTGGGTATCTTTTACTCCCAAGTCTGTTAGGTTATGATAAAAACCCAATAAGTTGGTCTCTGATAAAACACTTTCTCCTGAGGTTAGACTTTGTTAAGAAGAGAATGCTTTGGTGTATTTAAAAATGGTTACCTTTTCCCTCTCCGATGGGAAGCTTGACGAGATTTTTCTCGAATATTCACTGTGAGAACCTGGTAGAGCTCCTGAAGATAAACTCATAGAAATGTGAGCACATGCCCCTAACACTGAGCTGTCAGATTTGTCCACTCTGAGCCTCCAGCAATTTGTCAACAATAGTTCAGGTTTTCCTACCCTGCTACTGATTTCCACAGGGATTTCTACTAGTAAGTCTCTGCTCCAGTAAACAGACTCTCTGTATCTACCTGTCTCTTTCTAATTTGGGGGACAATAGTCTGTCTTGTGACCTCAATTTTCTGACAGATCTAAGAAGATTTTGCCGATTTTCACTTTGTTCAGCTTTTTACTTGTTAGGATACAATGATGACTTGCAAGTCATGTAAAATGTTAGACCGGAGGTTGGAATTCCAGAATTCTCGTCATTACTTTATAACACTTGATAAATATCAGTTAATAGTACTTGGTCTTCAACCAGCACAAATAACAAGGAAGTACTTAAAGCAACAACTTTGAGATAGTGGGCCACATAGAAATCAGTATATTCTGGGAGCCGATTGTGGATGCTCTGCCCACTTATTTGGGTGGTGTTCCCTGACAGAAGCTGTAGGGGGAGGGCACAACAGAAAGAAAGGAAAAGTAGAAGGAAGAGAAAGCAAAGGTCTTAAGAAATGCTGACAGTAAAACATAGTCATTTACCAGATGGCCTGTTCACAATGAGTTAGGACCAGTGAGAGAAGCATTTTTTCCTTCACTAGCTTTTTTTCTTTATTGTAGCAGAATGGGTCTTGGAACATTTAAAAGTTACTTCTTTGATCTAGCAAACTTTGGATAGTAACTACTGGGGCTCAAAGTAAGGCATTATACTTTTAAAACTGAAGTATATGATATTTGTCTATATGCTGCAAATATGGACAATGTATAGACTTTTGGGCATATTTTGCCACATGGACAATAAGCTTTGAGTTATGTAATAACTATGACTCTCGAGGAAAATAGAGAAATGGTATCACATGGAGCAATTTTTCTCAAATGGGAGTCAGAACTCTCTGGAAAAGGGATCAGAGCATTTGCCCTACAGAGCTGGGAAGAGCCCAATGGAGAAACTTCTACCCTACCTCCTTTTCAGTGCCTTCCTTGGGGTCCGATCTTTTTTCCACTGTGCTCAGCACCATCACTTGCCTTTTATTGTGGCTGGTCTTTGGTCCATTCTTCTAGTAGCTTAGAGCAAGGGAGAATGATGGAGAGAAAGATAGATGCTGGCCCGTAAGCAGTAAAATTAGCCATTCCCTCTTTGTTCTTTTTTTGTGTTTTGCAATGTTGTTTACAGTGCTTTTTAACTGTACTTCCCTATCTCATTAGGTAGTGAGGTTCAGGGACACAAAACTCTACCTCCTCTTCTTCTACAGGGCTCAGCACATGCCTATTACATATTAGGCGTTCCATAAACATTTGGTGGAAATGAATTGAAATGAGATAGTTGAACTGAATTATGCCTTTTTTTAATGCTAAAAAGAAATGGTTGTCCAAGGTTTGTAGCTGTACAACATAATGATTAAGGACATAAGTTTTCCAGTCAGGCCAGTGAAGGCTCCAGAACTTCCATACTGGATGGGGTTAGGGGTGGCTGTCTATTTGGGAGAGAGGGCAAGGGGATGTGTGCTAAGGTTGCATTTGCACCTTGTTTTGACTAGATTGAGTTTCTCAACCCAATTCTTAACACCACCTCTGTCTCAGATGGATGTGGGTTAAAATAATTTCCTCAAGTCTCAATTTCTAGATGCGTAAACTGGAAATAACACTGACCCTAACGGAGTATTGTGAGGATTACTGAGGTAATGTGTGTTAAATATTTAACTCGGTCTTGGCATACAGTAAACACTCAAAAAGCTAACTATCATTATTATTACTATAATATCAAAAGTTGGTTATATTAATTAAATGTTAGAATGTTTGAGCTAGGGATGCCTGGGTGGCTCAGTCGGTCAAGCGTCTGCCTTTGGCTCAGGTCACGATCCCGGGGTCCTGGGATCGAGTCCCTCATCAGGTTCCTTGCTCAGCGGGGAGCCTGCTTGTCCCTCTGTCTGCCATTCCCCCTGCTTGTGCGTGCTCTCTCTCTCTCTCTCTTTCTCTTTGACAAATAAATAAATAAAACCTTAGAAAAAAAAAGACTGTTAGAGCTATAAGGGGGTTCAGGCACAGCAAAGATACAGATTGTAGTCTCTACACACCGACGTGGGAATCCTGCCTCTGCTCTCTCCCGCCCAGAATGACCTTGGTCAAGTGATCCACTCAATAAAACTTCAGCATGTGAGAATCACCTGGGCTAGTTCAAGTTCAGACTCCAAGGCTCCTTGCCGGATATTTTGATTAAGTTGTTTTTTTGTAGGGCCTAGGGATCTGCACTGTAGAAGTTTCCAGGGGATTCTGATCTCTGAACCTCATGGGCCATACTTGGTGGAATGTTAACTCGGGTTCTTAATGCCTCAGGCCTTCCCCCATACAGAGGCACAGTGACAGCTGCTTCATGGTTTGCGTGTGGAGAGTATCTGGCCATGAACCTGGCATATTGCAGGTGCTCGGAAGTGCCGGCTCCCTGTCCTCTAGGTATTGTCTATTCAACTATTCCATTCCACCATGTGAATCCAGGGCCAAAGAAGAGACCAAATTCTCCAGAATGTGCTAGAAGTTGACAGAAATCAGTTAACATATCAGGGAGCAACCCACTCGTAAAGTGGGAAGAGTCTGCAAAGTATATTCGTACAAAATACATAACATATTTTGAAGAATAGAGGCTAGTAAGAGAATGGATTCCCACTCCCACCCCACAGATCAGCCGTGTATGGAAATAAAAAATTCCACTCCGATGAGCACATTTCCCTGCTTTCCAATGCCAGGAACCATGTCAGCAGCAAGCAGGACCTACACCATTTGCACTGGCAGCAAACAGTTTTCTAATGAGTTTGGGACATTTGAGTACTTGCCGGCCTCCGATTCATTAACGTAATATTAGAAGAAAATTAACAGGGTATGATGACCTCAGAGGACATGTGGGGAGGAAGCCAAGTCCATGCTGAACCGAATCAGCTACAAGGAAATGAAACGTGGGTTTGCCCACCAGCACTGGAACCTTTAAGGTTCTTGTTTGCTATGTGTACATCCCATTATCTTAGCTGCTGGTTTCTCCCGCTGTTGCTATAGCATGGAAACTTTGACGGCCTGGTGTCTATAATAAGCCAGATGAGCTCACTTGACAGTGCTTTCCTTCCTGTTACACTTTTCAGTACGGCAAGCTGCTATTTAATTTTGAATTGTCACAATCTGTGGCATTATATACTGATATAATTTCTTTGCTGTATAATTGGTAAAGAACTTGGTGATACTTCTAATTGCAGGGGGATGAAACTATGTAGACACATAAAACTGTTCATAGAAAATTAGAAAAAAAAAATCAATTCCGTCAACTCTCCCAAAAACAAGTTGGGCAAAACCATTAAGACTTCTTTATTTTTTTTTTCTTTCATGCAAAGAATATACTTTCAAATGAATTTTTTCCCTTTTCATCCTCTGTTTGTGGACACAGGATATATAGCCGCAGGGGAGGAGATGAGAAAACTCTACTGGAACCTGGTTCTGTTTAACAGATTAAATTCAAACTTGCTTTTAAAAAGAAAGAGCTTGCGATATTTTATTCAGGTTCAGCAATGGAAGCAACATCAGAGTAGAAGCCTGCCTTACGGAAAGAATTTTGAATTTTGTAATTAGAAACTCCTAAATAAAGCTTTGGAACAGAATCTGATTTGTCCATGGGGAGCTTTTGTGTTTGTTTGTTTTAATTTATTCATATGTTTGTCGATTCATGCAGCAATCACGGGCTGCCACCGCCATCTGCGCTAGACAGAGGGAAAGGGAGGGGAGAGGAGGACGCCCTCAAGGACGCTCTGATCTCTGGACCCGGCATCGGCTGCATCCTGTGCAGCCTGGGTGACATTTTATTGAAACTACTGATTCAACAAACACTTGAGTATTTCCTCTGTGAGGACCCCAGAGCTTTTGAGTCCTGCCTACCGCCTGGGGCTGTTAGGAGGAATATTCAGGTTCTTGTCCGGAAAGATTGCAGGCCTAGGGGCCTAGGAGGTCATTGGTAGATGTGGGAGGCCTGGCTGGCTTAATGCCCACTGGGAAACTGTTGCTGGGAGGAAGCTGGGAATGAGCCTGTGGTGGTGGGCTTCAGTAGATGAGATGTGGAGAAGGATGAGGCTTTTACCATCTGCAGGCAGCAGTAATCTGGTAGCTCTCCTGCACTCAGGCTTTTTGACCTTGTGGTTTCCTTACCTTTCTTAGGTTTCTCTTTTTGGCTTTTGCCACTTTGTGACTTCCTTCCTTCCATCCTTCCTTCCTTCCTCCTTCCTTCCTCCCTCCTTCCCTCTCTCCCTCCCCGTGTCTCTCATAGTCATTCTGTACATCCTGCTGCCATGAAATCCCAGCAATATTTTACTCCACCAACTTTATTCAAGGGGATATAAGAGCGGCCATTAGGGGACAGGCTGCTGCCCAGGAGGACCCACAGGGGCCCCGAGTCACTGGCCTCTAGGACTTAGCGCAGGGTACCAGGCTCAGCCCCTTCAGATTGGGCTCGCCTGAGGATGGGGGCACAGTGTTCCTGTTAGAACTTAAGAATCTAGATACATACACACACACTGCTGTTTATAGCTACACGTCAGTCTTTCTCAGGGGAGTTTTGATATTCTGAGTTAGGGAACAAAAGTGCTGATTCCTCTGATGAGAAGCACCGAACCCAGGTTGAGTGATTGGGATATTTGAAGTGAAAGAAATGAGGAGTTACTGATTCTTGGGCGGGGGGTGGGGGGGGTGGGGGGGGGTGGGAATACAACTTGAAGAGTTCAGTTGTCATTTGCTTAGCACTCATTTAGCTATTTCAGTTATGCAGGATCACAGATCAAAGGAATTATATATTTTCTTCATTTAAGAAATTTTTTAATGAAGAAAGGACCTTGTTTATTTCCTCCCAAAGAGCGAACCTCTGAATGTAACTTTTGCCCTCCAGGAGGGCCATGTCGTCCCTCTGGGTCTGCCAGTTCCATGCGGGCAAGACCATGTATACTTTTTTTTTTTTTTAAAGATTTTATTTATTTATTCGTAAGAGACAGAGAGAGAGAGGCAGAGGGAGAAGTAGGCTCCCCGCCGAGCAGGGAGCCCGATGCGGGACTCGATCCCAGGACCCTGGGATCATGACCTGAGCCGAAGGCAGACGCTTAACCATCTGAGCCACCCAGGCGCCCAAGACCATGTATACTTTTGTCGCTGTAAACCCCTAAGCCTGGTACAATGCCTGGTGCCCTCATGTGCTCAACACACATCTACTAATGTAAAATAATTAGGCATGTGAAGTCATTGTGAAATACTGCCTTGTTATAGCCCAATCCTCTAAATAGGATTCTTGACCGAATGTTGAACTAAAAAACTCTAAGAGGACATAGACAGCAAACCAGAGTGTGGTGTTAAGGAGTAGTTCTACCAATGGGATTTTAAACCATTGATATGAGTTCCAGTAACATATTCCATTTTTAGGTAATAATTGTTGGAGGAACTCAGATCCGACAGGTTGACACACTTTTACAGGGAAATTCAAGGCGGGGTCCAAGTCTGGTTGTTACTGTGGTGGTGGAAACATTCATTGTGAAAGTGGGTTCAGTCTTCATTTGTAGAGGAGACATGAGAAAAATAAAACAAATCCTGACTTCAGCTTACCAAGAATAATTTTCTAGTTTTAGCATCAGCAAGTTAAATGACCATACCCAAGCCATTTGAGTAATCCCTGGATATATGGAACCCAATTAAGTGAACTCAGCAGGTTTGGTTTACTGACTGACTTGAATCACTATGTAGCCTGTGTAGTCAGGGGCACTTGGTTTTAAATCAGATCAAAATACGCATGAAGGGCAAAGAAGTTGGTTCAGCGGCTTACCTTACATTCTAGGGATGAGAAAGAAATTTAAGCCTAAAAGAAATCCAGATATGTCAAAAAATGTTTAAAAAGATACAAATGGAAAGTAAACTCAGAATTATATCTACCAATGAATTACTGGATTACATAGATAAACTATTGGTAAGAGCTGACAAGTATTTTGTTCTTGGATGGATTTTTTTCCCACCTACTAGAAAACATTCTTCATGATATTACATTATTAATAGAGGGTTCCAAATCATAGCTATCCAACAGTTGCTTCCTGTGTTAAGGATAATGACTTCATATAGCAGAAAAGTTTGTTTTAGGGAACTAACAGAGTGTGTCTGTAAGCAGGCAGCTGAATTGGACACAACTGAAAGAGTTGGTTCTCAAATTTGCTATGGCTCATTAAGATAGTATTTGGAGCAGAGGGACAATTACTTCTTGGATTTGGGTGCTTGCATAGCTGTATAAACAGGCCGTAGAGAAATGGGATGGCCAAATCTTTTCCTTGCATCTATTTAATAGTGCATGGATGCATAAGGCTGCAGTCTTTGGTGCCAGTGGACCGGGACACAAAATATTATTTCATAAATATTGCCAATACCCTTCATGGAACTACTTACAAAATGAAACTTACAAAATAACACTATATGAGGTAGTTTGCTCTTCTGTTGTTTCAACTTATTTCACTCTGTGTCGATTTCCAGCAGTTTCCTTTTTTTTTTTTTTTTGCTAATTGTTGAAATGCATAATACAGACAGAAGGAAATGTGTCTGGGGCATCTTTGTGTAAGGGTACAATTCTGGACTACCAAACCTGGGCACAGAATCGGTTTTAATTTTTTAAAAAGATTTTATTTATGTATTTGTCAGAAAGAGAGCGAGAGAGTGAGCGACAGGCAAGGAGCCCTATGTGGGACTTGATCCCAACCGACTGAGCCACGCAGGCATCCTGTGGGCACAGAATTTTGAGCAAAATAGTCATGACCTTGTCCCAGTCTCTTCTCCTTATGAAACAGGAAGGTCTTTACTTACAGTTTTCTGAGGACAACAATAGAACTAGTTAAGGATGACTAAAATCATACTACAGCTTGGAATGAAAACTCTGCAGTTTACTTTACAAATAACTCAAGTTTGGTCATAGGAAGTAGAATCCCTCAGTGGGGGGCCATACAGAGTCCAATTTATAATGAAAAAAAATGGGTTTTTTTTGAGATGAAGCTGCTAGCAGTTTCCCTTATGGTCAGGAAGAGGTAAGGGTCACCTTGGAGTGTATCTTTTTTGCGTGTGTGGTTAAAATATATGTAACATGAAAGTTTTCATTTTAATTTTTTTTAAATGTAGAGTTTGGTGGCACAAAGTATATTCACAATGTTTTGCAACCATCACCACGATCTACTTCCAGAACTTTTTCATTATCTCCAACTGAGACCCTGTCCCCATTAAACACTAACCGCCAATCCCCCTCCCCCATCCCCTGGCAACCACCCTTCTACTTTCTGTCTCTGTGAACTTGACCATGCTAGGTAACCCATGTAAGTAGAATCATGCAGTATTTGTCTTTTCGTTCCTGGCTGATTTCACTTAGCATAGTGTCCTCAGGGTCCATCCATGTTGTAGCCTGTGTCAGAATTTTCTTCCTTTCTTGAGGCTGGATAATAATCCAGTGTATGGATAGACCACTTTTGTAATCCATTCATCCATCAATGGACACTGGTGTTGATTCTACCTCTTATCTATTGAGAATCATGCTGCTATGAACATGGGTGTACAAATATCTCTTCAAGACCCTGCATTCAATTATTTTGGATATGGACCCAGAAGTGGAATTGATGGGTCAGATAGTAGTTCTATTTTTAATTTTTTGAGGAACCTCTACACTGTTTTTCACAGTGGCAGTACTGTTTTACATTTGGAGTACCTCTTTCTTGATGTGACCTCTTTTTGATATAAAAATGTAAGGCAAGCAGGTCCTCTGAGGAGAAGGTGTTAGCAGACTTTTTTGTTGAACTCAGCAGTATCTTTTTTTTTTTTTAAAGATTTTATTTATTTATTTGAGAGAGAGAGACTGAGAGAGAGAGAGAGCACATGAGAGGGGGGAGGGTCAGAGGGAGAGGCAGACTCCCCGCTGAGCAGGGAGCCCGATGCGGGACTCGATCCCGGGACTCCAGGATCATGACCTGAGCCGAAGGCAGTCGCTTAACCAACTGAGCCACCCAGGCGCCCAGAACTCAGCAGTATCTTCTCCATCGGTGTTCAGGGCAAGGGGAAAGAGGTGGACTAATGGCATAAAGAGGCTGGGGGCCATATTGATACGAAAAGGGTCTCTATCTCTATTCCTTTACTGGTGGCGTTACTCGGTGTGTTTTCACAAATGGATTCCATCCTGGAGAGAAAGGAGAACACTATGGCATTTCTTGTGCTCTGCACTAGTAAAACTCTCAGGCTGTAGGACCTCAGGGAATTACTGCAAAATTTCCTGCCCACTGTCCTGTGGGCTCTGGTATAAAAGACCTAGGAGGACACAAAATCAACATTATCTTCTTGATAAAACATTAAGTTCCATATTAATGGAAGAAATGCTTTGCCACTCAGTGGAGCAGTGCTTTGTGTATGAAAAATAACAAGGAATTGAGCTGCATTCTGAGTCCTATTAAAAAAAGATAATGCTACCATTTCATTTGTCTGAATGAGACCTAACACTGTGCAAAAAACATTGGGGAAGAGATTTCTGTTCATATTTAGGTTCTTCTTTTAAACTGAACCATTTTCTCTCTCTCAAATGAAGATTCTCATTCCCCAACCCCTCCCCCCAACACACACCACAGTCTCATAAAATAGTTTTTCTGCATGAGTGATTCATTTCTTTATAGAATTTTTTTTTGCAAATTGTCGTTCGGTGCCTATGAAACAAAAGAAAATTTG